TAAAACATAAACTGGCCTTGAAAAAAAAAAAAAGATGGTACCCCTAAAAATATTTTGACCACAAGAACATGTTAAACTAAGGTCTGTTCTGTAATCAGTCAGTTTTTTTAAAGGATGACTGGTAGTCATAGGGCTGTTTGGGTTCCTGGTGTGTAAGTCACTGAGCATGTACCACAGAAAGCTGAGCACATAATTGTCTCTAGAGCTTTGAAAGACATAATTTGAAAGATAAAAGACTATAAGGCCAACTCCAAAACACCTTGATGTTCCTCTGATAGCTGCTTAGATTATTCAGAAGTTTAAGGTCCAAGGGACTGGAGACAACCTCTCTGGACATGTCCACAAGAGACAAACTGAAGAGACGAATACTACGAATGGTAACCAAGGAGCCCAGAAAAACTTTCAAAGAGATAAGACTTGAACTCCAAGTTCAAGGGTCATCAGTCTTTGAGACAAAGTGGACATAATAGAAGACAACTGAGGACACCAAAGCAGGACTGGACTTTGTCAAAATGCATTTTGACGAACAAATAAAGCTTCTTGGAGAATGTCCTTTGGACAGATGAGACAAAACTGGAGCTTATTGTCAACAAGTCTCATCAGCTTTTTGTTCAGGACTACCACCCTGCGATCAGAACCAGGCCGAACCTCGCCGCAGTCTGTTCCCTGCAGCCCCCAGGATCCGGGTCACACACAGTCCAGATCAACTGCAGCCCAGGTCACCAATGAAGATCCAACTTGAAAGATGAGTTAAGCTTCAGGATTATTTGTAACTTTCCTGCCAGTTCTGTGATCTTAATAGATCAATTGTTACTTCTGACTTTGCGTTGCTAAACTTTCCCTCTATTTTGGCAGAAAGCAGCGGCTGGAAGCACTGTTGGCTTCTGGGTAGTGTAGTTCTTTTTTGACTGCCGTTAGTGCATGCTTACTGAAAGAAAACTACAAAATGGCAGCGCTTGTCCAAAGTATTTTTTTCGTTAACTTTTTATCTCGTATCATCCCAATCACGTGAGTAATATTAAAGTTGACAGTTCATTCAACTTATATTTACACAGGTTAGTCCCATTGAGCCTCGGGGACTCATTTACAAGAGAGACCTGATTTGAACAAAGAGTGATGACAACAATGGACAACAACGACAACAATAGACAGTCATAAAATAGGCAAACAAATTTAAGTTTCTCTTTTTTTTTTACAAATCAAAACAAAATGGCAACCAAAAGGACAATCAAGAGGAATACTAGCAAAAAAAAAAAACAACTGCTAGATTATAAGGCAATTTAGAAAACTAAAAACAGGAACATGTCTGCATTGGCTTTTCCCAGCAACTTAACAGGGTTTTAAAGCCACTTAGAGAAGTCAAGATCGAGAGCTTCACGTCTTTTTGTAAGATATTCCAAGAAACAGGAGCGGAGTAGGAGAGGGCCCTTTTGCCAAGTTCAGTCCTCACTGAGGGGACACTGCATGTAATAATGTCCTGAGAGCGCATGTAGGAGATGTATGAAGGCAACAGACCAAGAAGTGATTTAAAGATGAAAATGTACCAGTGGGAAAGTCTGCATGAAGTTAATGATGTCCAGTTAACCAGTGAATACAGGGTGCAGTGGTGGGTACGGTAGTTACAGCCAGTTATGAATCTTAGTGCACCATGATAGACAGCATCCAACATCAGGGTGCTTGTAGGAGTGTTCATGTAAATGTCACCGTAATCAATGGAGGGAAGGAAAGTCGCAGTTACAAGGTGTTTCCTAGCATTCAGTTAGACAGGATCTATTTCTGAAAAAGAAACCCAGTTTAAATTTCAGTTTCTTTACTAGGTTTTCCACGTGAAGCTTAAAAGCGAGATGCAAGTCAACAAGATACCCAAATATTTATAGGAATCGACAAACTCAATAGGGGCACCATTTGAGGATAAAATCAGAGGAAGGACTGATGGGAACGACTTCCTGTTTGAAAAAAGCATCCCTTTGGTTTTATCGGCATTTAGGACAAATTTGAGACGGAACAAATCTGACTGGATGATGTCGAAGGCGAATTGTAAAAGCTGGAAAGCCTTAGCAACTGTTTTAGCTCGACAATAAACAACTGTGTCATCAGCATAGAAATGTAAGGATGCACCAGGGATACTCTGACCTAAATTACCTATGTGGATTGTAAAGAGGGTGGGCCCTAAGACTGAGCCTTGTGGTACACCATTACTGACTGTTAGATAACTGGAGGAAATACCATTATGAACACATTGCCTCCAATCTGAAAGATAATTAGATTGAAAACATTCAATACATTCAACAATTATTGAAAAACCACGAAAGAGTGAGTCGATGAAAGTTGAACTAGCGATGGACTACTGTATTATTCTTTCTCTGCTTGGCATTCCTTGTGGAAGGAATTTACCGTAGTTTCTCCTGGAACCATGTCTCCAAGTGTGCGCATGGCTATAAACACTTTGAACCCTTGAATAACCAAACATTGGACTGTTCTGGGGTGGCACGGTGGAGCTGTTGCCTCTCAGCGAGAAGGTCTCCGGTTCAAATCCCAGCCTGGGACCTTTCAGGGAGGAGTTTGCATGTTTTCTCCGTGCATGTGTGGGTTTTCTCCAGGTACTCTGGTTTCCTCCCCAAAACATGCATGTTAGACTAATTGGTAACTTAATTGTCCCTAGGTGAGAGTGAATGGTTTGTCTCGTTTGTCTCCATGTGTCCCTGTGATGAACTGGAGACATGTCCAGGGTTTCTCCCACCTCTCGCACAGTGACTGTTGGATATGGACACCAGTGACTCCCGTGACCCGAAAAGGAAGAAGCAGGTAAAGATAATGGATGGATGGAGTGTTCTGAAGTGGTCTTCAGAAATCCTCTAACATCTAAAGAAGGAACCCTTCAAACCTGAGACGACTCAAGGACTTTGCTGACAGAGTGGACCCACATACCGGAGGACAGGTAAAAGGTTAGGCTACAAAACATCAAGCTAAGGGTATCAGTTTTATTTTAGCTTCAAGGCCCCTCGTGTGAAACTCTTCAGACTTCTTGAAATTTAGAACAAAAAGTGCAGATAACTTTAGAACAGAGATTCGGTCAAGTGTGAGAAAGAGATTGGGGCTGGAAGGACAAACAGAAAATGTATTCAGTGTCTTATCTGCAAGAAGAAAACGATAAGACGGCTCACAGGAAGAACAAGTCCCTCCTTAGACATTCCCTGCAACTCACGAGAACCTCCCATGAATCATGTTCCGCTCCCGCCGAGGGTAAGGCCTTGACCCAAAAGGTCACGCTCCGACCCTTTAAATCTGCTTTTAGACAAACGCACAAAGTAAGACGAGACGACAAAAAGCTCGTTTGTAAAAACGGTTTCACGACAAGGACAAACGTATAAAAAGAACAAACATCATAAATTCATTCCTGCGTTGAGTGCGCCATTTAAATTTAATCACGTTTTAGCAGGAGTCCCTGAACGCCTCCTGAGCTGTGCTGCAGCGAGGCGTTCAGGGCACGCGTTAACGCCATTTGTCACGCGTCTCTGGGTGTGTGTGTGTGTGTGTGTGTGGGGGACATCTGAGTGGGAGCAACAGCTGCAAGATATTTAATTTTCTGAATATCTTTGAGCATCATGCGACGGATTGAATCCGACGAGAACTTTCAGCGACGTCTACACGTCAAACGTGGACAAACGGGACCAAAATGAGGTCTTTGGTCTAAAATAGTTCAGATGTTTTGATGCAAAGCTTTGTTGAAAGGTTTAAAAAAAAAGTATCTTACCTGTTGTAGACAACTCTTTGAAGGATCTCAGTTTGGAGAAATGCAGCTCAATTCTGACCAGATGAATTTTACAGCTACTTAATGTTCAAATACCAGCAGCAGCTAGCTGTAGCACTTCTGGCGTAACCTGGAAACATTTGGTATAAAATTATTCTTGAAGGAAGTGGTTTATTAAACCCCCACAGAAGCTCTTTTAACTTTACGACAAAGGGGTGAAAAAACAAAAGAAGCATGCACGAGGGCATTGTTTTTGCACCAAATACCTTCGTGCACGACCAAAGTGTGTTTTTGCTCGTTATATTCAAACGACGGGACTCTACATTAACGTCCACCCACGACGGACGCACCTCTGCCACGCAATTTCCCGCCAAGTTGATAGTTTTTAGAGCGTCTGGGCTAATATCGAGGTGAAATTAGATAAAAGTATTATTGAAAGGAATGCATTTATAAAGGGATTTCTATATGGTGGTTTTGTTTTTTTACAGTAAGGGACACTAAAGGGCTGCAACGTTACAGGAACATTCAAAACAAATGTCCAAATTTTTAGCTCAATACATGCAAAGCTGAGATCATGATTTGTGTGTACGGTAAGGTCATTTAGCTGTGGCGGCCATCTTGAACTGGACTGACTCAGAACATGTGACCCGTGGCGGCAAATTAAGTCTCAGTGAGGACTTATTCAACATGGGAGTTTTTATCGTTTTCCAAATTTTCCATCTCAAAAGGTTCACAAAAATATGCAGTGGCTCATGATATTTTGCTAACAAATAAACATATAGGTCAAAAATGTTATCCCCACCCCCAAATATGAAGATGGGAGAACTAAATTTCCCATTCACATATCTGCAACAGCTAAAACAGTTTATAACTTTTCAGAAGAAACCCGTTTCTAAAGATCTGAATGATCCGTTTAAAGGAAAGTTTTTGACGGGCACCACTGTAAGGATCAAATCGTGCAGAAGTTCCTGACAAAGATGGCGTTCCTCTGATGTTCAGAGTCTCGTCAACTTTGGGGACGCTGCAGAAAACAAGGAGACTCGAGCTCGTGGCTCCGATCGGCCGCCTCCCTCACCCTTTCCCACACTCGGACGATCAACGGCCACCTGTTTTGGTGACTGACGTTCACAACAGCTGCCCCCCCCCCCCCCCGACTGAAGACACACAGCTTTTGTTGTAAAAACATGACACACCAACGATCCGCGGTCACGAGTTCCCTGCAGAGATTTCAAAAAGGAAAGACACGAGCTGAGACACATTCTGAGCTTTTATTGACACCGTCCGCTGCACCATCAGGTGGTTACTGGTTGGTTGAGTCAGGAGGGGGCGGAGTCACTGTTTTAGCTCCAGGGTCAAGAGGGGGCGGAGTCACTGTTTCAGCCCCAGGCACCTCCACCTGTGGGAGCAAGAGGAGAACCCAACAAACGTTATTGCTGCAACCTAGTGATCCAGATGTTCACAGTGATGGGGGGGGGGCTGCTTCCTGCTGATGTCTCAAACAGGAAGTGGACGAAACATCTTTTAAAGCACGCCTGACAATAAATAAACAATAACACTAAATATCTTTAGATGATAAAGAAATAATTATCTTAATAATACAAATTATATATCTACAAACCGGATTCCAAAAAAGTTGGGACACTGAACTAATTGTGAATAAAAACTGAACGCAATGATGTGGAGGTGCCAACATCTAATATTTTATTCAGAATAGAACTCAAATCACAGATCAAAAGTTTAAACTGAGAGAATGTATCATTTTAAGGGAAAAATCTGTTGTTTCCAAATTTCATGGCGTCAACAAATCCCAAAAAGTTGGGACAAGTCCATTTTTACCACTGTGTGGCATCCCCCCTTCTTCTTACAACACTCAACAGACGTCTGGGGACAGAGGAGACCAGTTTCTCAAGTTTAGAAATAGGAATGCTCTCCCATTCATGTCTAATACAGGCCTCTAACTGTTCAATCGTCTCGGGCCTTCTTTGTCGCACCTTCCTCTTTATGATGCGCCAAATGTTCTCTATAGGTGAAAGATCTGGACTGCAGGCTGGCCATTTCAGTACCTGGATCCTTCTCCTACGTAGCCATGATGTTGTGATTGCTGCAGAATGTGGTCTGGCATTATCGTGTTGAAAAATGCAGGGTCTTCCCTGAAAGAGACGACGTCTAGATGGGAGCATATGTTGTTCTAGAACCTGAACATAGTTCTCTGCATTAATGGTGCCACAAGCGCTCATGCAACCCCATACCATCAGTGATGCAGTCTTCTGAACGGAGCGTTGATAACAACTTGGGCTATCCTTGTCCTCTCTGGTCCGGATGACATGGCGTCCCAGCAGGCAATCAGCCTGTGGCACTGCTGAGGTGTTATGGAGGCCCAGGATGCTTCGATAGCGGCCTTAAGCTCATCCAGAGTGTTGGGTCTTGTGTCTCTCAACTTTCTCTTCACAATATCCCACAGGTTCTCTATGGGGTTCAGGTCAGGAGAGTTGGCAGGACAATTGATCACAGTAATACCATGGTCAGTAAACCATCTACCAGTGGTTTTGGCACTGTGAGCAGGTGCCAGGTCGTGCTGAAAAATGAAATCTTCATCTCCATAAAGCTTTTCAGCAGATGGAAGCATGAAGTGCTCCAAAATCTCCTGATAGCTGCATTGACCCTGCGCTGGATAAAACACAGTGGACCAACACCAGCAGATGACATGCCACCCCAGACCATCACTGACTGTGGGTGCTTCACACTGGACTTCTGGCATTTTGGCATTTCCTTCTCCCCAGTCTTCCTCCAGACTCTGGCACCTTGATTTCCGAATGACATGCAGAATTTGCTTTCATCCGAAAAAAGTACTTTGGACCACTGAGCAACAGTCCAGTGCTGCTTCTCTGTAGCCCAGGTCAGGCGCTTCTGCCGCTGTTTCTGGTTCAAAAGTGGCTTGACCTGGGGAATGCGGTACCTGTAGCCCATTTCCTGCACACGCCTGTGCACGGTGGCTCTGGATGTTTCTACTCCAGACTCAGTCCACTGCTTCCACAGGTCCCCCAAGGTCTGGAATCGGCCCTTCTCCACAATCCTCCTCAGGGTCCGGTCACCTCTTCTCGTTGTGTAGCGTGTTCTGCCACACTTTTCCCTTCCACAGACTTCCCACTGAGGTGCCTTGATACAGCACTCTGGGAACAGCCTCTTGCTTGAGGGTGTCAATGATGGCCTTCTGGACAGCAGTCAGGTCGGCAGTCTTACCCATGATTGCGGTTTTGAGTAATGAACAAGGCTGGGAGTTTTTAAAAGCCTCAGGAATCTTTTGCAGGTGTTTAGAGTTACGTCGTTGATTCAGATGGTTAGGTTAATAGCTTGTTTAGAGAACCTTTTCATGATATGCTAATTTTTTGGGACAGGCATTTTGGGTTTTCATGAGCTGTATGCCATAATCATCAGTATTAAAACAATTAAAGACCTGAAATATTTCAGTTGGTGTGCAATGAATCTGAAATATATGAAAGTTTCATTTTTATCATTACATTATGGAAAATAATGACCTTTATCACAATATGCTAATTTTTTTAGAAGGACCTGTATAATATATATATCTTTCTCTCACTCCCTCTCTCTCTCATTCCATCTCTCTCCCTCTCTCGCTTAATCTCCATCTCTCCCTCTTTCTCCCCTTCTCTCTCTCCATCATCTCTCTCTCTCTCTCTCCATCATCTCTATCTCTCTCTCTCTCCATCATCTCTCTCTCTCTCTCTCACTTAATCTCTCTCTTCTCTCTCACTCCATCTCTCTTTCCTCTCTCTCGCTTCATCTCTCTCTCCTCTATCTCTCTCTCTCTCTCTCTCTCCTCTGTCTCACTCCATCTCTACCTCTCTCACTCCCTCTCTCCCTCTTTCTCCTTCTCTCTCTCCATCATCTCGCTCTCTCTCCTCCATCTCTCTTCTCTCTCACTCCATCTCTTTCCTCTCTCTCGCTCCATCATCTCTCCTCTATCTCTCTCTCTCTCACTCCCTCTCTCCTCTCTCACTCCATCTCTCTCGCCTCTCTCTCACTCCATCTATATATCTCTCTCCTCCATCTCTCTCTCTCTCTCACT